CAAAAAGATTTTACCTCTTTCTCATTTTCAATTTAAAACATCAAAATGCAGCCCTGTAGGTTCTCCTAGCAGCAATTACAACCTTTGACAATTACAGCCTAGTCAGCAAGAGCACTCAACAAAACAGCGCTCCAAAATTATTTTGGATTTTAGTTTTTTTCTAAACTCTTTGCAAAAAAAAAAAAAAAAAGCTTTACTTTAAAACCCTGCATTATGTTTTGGTTGTTCTTAAGCCTTGCTTTTCCATGATATTCCAGAGTTTGCGGAGATTTGATTGTGTGATGACATCATCTGGTTTAAACTGAAGGGCATGGAGATAGTTTGATTCAGCCTCCAAAAGTTTGCCATTGAGATGAAGAATAGCTCCCAAATTCATTAAGGCAGCTGGGTACTGGAAAAAAAAGAAAAGAAAAAGGATGGAGAAAACATGAGTTTATTTTGCATCTTCTTTCGTCTAAGAGCTTTCATCTAAGTAGCAAAATTATTCCCTTATGTTTTTGTAGGCTACTTTTATGGAAACAATTAAGCAACTGGAAGAAATATGAGTGGTAAGTAAGGAATGAGTTGATCAGTTGCACAGTACACTTTGCAGCTGAAGTGTTCACATGGAGAACATTAACTCTTTTAATGTGCAAACCACAGGTAATAGGGCTCCTGGTCACAAAAAGCTGTCCTCCCCACCCCACAGAGTCTTTTTTCTTTTCTTCTTTTTTCTTCTTTTGTTTCCTTACTAGATAAGGAAAACTGGAAGATAAGATTAAATGAAGCAAATCAGTTTTATTCTTTGTATTCCAAGTAGATCACTAAATGAGCATTTAAAACTACAGTACTTTAGGTTTTGGTTCTATAGCAAACCCAATCTTGAGAAGGAATTAGAATTCATGGTGATGAAATAAACAAATGTGTAAGTTCTTTTATTCTGATACCATGAACGATACCTTGAATATCATCACTGCCAGCTCTGACTAATAATGTTATCGAGAAAGCATGTTGTGTTTAGTTCAAAACAGGTTAAGTATAAATTTGAATGTAAATAATATGTTGCCTGATTGCACCAATGCAACTAGTTTGGCAGTGTGGCAAATGGTTACGCTGAAGTTCTGATGCTTTCAAAATGGCTGCATGTTTTGTGGCCAGCATTCTGTAATAGATTTGAGGGTTGCAAAAAATAATTCTTTAGTTTCAATTACGGTATTCATCAGTGATACTGAATACTGCTGCTACTGCATCTTCAAAACTTTTAGAAATGCTTAGTGGAGGATCCTAGAAAATCTCTAGTACCTTCCTTCCATATTTGAAATATGCTTTCCACTTTGCATCATTCCAATATCTGGTAACTTTGTACTGCTTCAACCTTCCTAGGTGAATGATACTAGGGCATGCTATAGGTGTTCTGGAGATGTTCTGGAGGCAACATTATCTACTGTTCATAGAGGGAATTAACCTGAGACAAGGAAAGAGGGGCAATTTCAAGTGAATGTGTGTTAAATCAAAGTAATATTCTAGGAAAATAATAGAAATGAGTCAGGAAGTTATACAATATGAGAAGAGAAACTCTCAGTGACAAATTAATTTGTTGAGATATAGCATCCATTTCAATACTTTCTAATAAAAGGTCATGGAGTTGTTAGATATGGGAATGATAACGACTACTACATCACTAAGCCTAGGTTATTATTAGTGTAAATTAAAAATAGTGCTTCATGGCAGTTTTAAAGATTTTTTCTCATCATTCTTGTGGGCCTCACGCACAATGACATCATAGTTCTGCTTAGTATCACTGGCTGTTAAATATATTTTAAGTACGGTTACTGGGCACCAAGACGCTGACTGCTTCTGCTATAAAGTAGGTACTGTCCGTTGTCTTTCATATTTCCTTTTTTGTTTTACCCAGTACAGTAAAGCCTTCACTTGCTTGTTTTTATAAAATCAATCCATGTGCCTCTTGATGTGACGATTCTGTTGCGTACAAAATGCCTTCTGTTCTTCTGTTCTGCAGCAGTTCATGACATTCAGCATCACTAAGGAATGTCTTTATTGAAACTGAAGAATAATTACTTTCCAAATCCTCAAACCTACTAAATAATGCTGGCATGTGTAAGTATCAGATGAAAAGAAATATTATGATGTTACCCTTCACAAAATACGCACTTTTGAAATTACTGATGTTCTCTGCTTATCTCTCTGCTCAATGCTTAAATGCTTCCACCAGCAATGTAATTACCCAGATCTACTTCTGTTATAAGCAAAGGGATGCTAGAAATAGAGAATTCTTCAGACTTGTCCAATCCATCAGAATGCAAACTATCTGCCTGTTTGTTCCAAATATTACATTATGAAGGTTTAACTCTGCTCTTGCCTGCAGTACTTTCACACCTGCAGTGAAAATGCTGCCCTTTCCCGCTTATGACATGCCAGCTGAAGGCAGGAAAACGGCACCTCATTTAGAGGGTGCTGCTCAACCAATTGCTAGATGTTGTTCATGGCAGGCCAATCATGGTTTGAGGCCTGCAAAGAATAAAGGACTGTAAAAAACCCTGTCTGCTTATCCTAGTAGCAGTTGTCTGCTGTCACCTGAAAATGAATTCAGCTATTTTCTTTATACATACTGTATTTTATCAAAGACAGATGAAGATGATTTTCAGTACATTAGCTACTGGCCCAGTAATGTGGGATTCCTCCCAGCCACAAAACAAATGACACCCTGGCCACATGAAACAAAAGACATTCTCTTTATTCATTTCCTTTTGGCGACAGTGTCTTTACATCAAAAGGATCCAGCTGGCAGTTTTATTAAGCTTTTATTATAATTCTTTTATGGTCTTTATACAGTTATTAGGGTAAATCATTTGCCCAGCCTCTAAAGTCTTACGATCTTGCTCCAAAGATTGCAATGCTAGCTAAGGTGGTATAGTGATAGTAGGTTCATCACCATGACCCAGCCACTGATATTTTGCTCTAGTTGCAATCAAATTAGACTTGGTGAAAAGTTAGTATGTCATCATGGAAACCTACATATATGATGGGATGCCTAATTCATATAACAGTACTATAAAGTAAGAATAGTACAGGGAGGAATAAAAAAAGGAAAAGATAACAATAGAAAAGGAAGGTAGAAGACTAGAAATAGCAAAAGGCTGGGCTTTTTTCCTGGATTCAGCTTGACAAGTAATAGTAGAAAGGACCATATTTCAGGAATGTTCTGAAGTCAGAATGATTTGTTTCTCTTCTTGTTCTTTTTTGCCTTGCCACACATTTTTGTCATTTCCTTTTTTCTTTTCTTATTTTCTTCCTATATAGCTGATTAAACACACACACACACTGTGTGTATATCCACACACATACATACAAATACACACACACACACACACACACACAAAGTGCATTCTCTATTTATCCTTTATTTCATGATGGGCAATCTAGGCCTGTGTGGGCACTAGGGCCTGCAGATACTTTTCAGTTCCCCTCAAGTTTCCTGCCGATTTTTGGTTTCAGATGAGAATGATTTTAAATGGGAAGTGGGCATGCTGGTGGCAGCTTCCACTCCAACATGTCCGTCTGCACAGAAAAAATGGTAACTGGGGTACTGGCACAGCTCAGGGATTAGTCTCATCTGTTTACCTCCTTTTAAATCAATGTTTTGTATACAACTGCCCTTTTGTGAAGACAGAATGCTGCTCATGAGAATCATTTTGTGTAAATTCTTCTAGAAAAGTTCCCTATCCCCATCCTTTGGCTCTAGCTATTTCTCCTTTTGTCTCTGTCACACTTTCCTTTTCTTCCATTATTTAAATATACTGTTTAACCATGGTTCACCTCTGCTGTTCTTTATACAGTATTGTTCTAATTTTGTTTTTATTTAAACAAAAAATATCAAGTTAGCAATGTAATAAAGCTAACAAAATCAAACAACAAACACCCTACCTCCCCCATGTGCCATTAAAAAATAGAGTTTGGAAGTATATAGAAATATATTTCTAATCTTAACGATAGATATGAAATTTCAAATAGCCATATTTAATATATTTATGTGGTCAAATTCTGTATTTGTATAGATACCAATATGCACACTTTGACAAGTAGATTATAACTGCACAGCTGTATATCTTATTGAAAGCTGGCTTTGAGTGCTTACTGTATATCAATAAATTTAATAAATGAACAAACATATTTTTGTTCAAAAATAGTAGAATAGATGGAGAATCACTTTGTTGATATACTTCAGAAACTGGGATCAAATTTGGATATAATAATTTTTAACTGAAGGATTTTTCAAGACTATATGCTGCTTCCTTAATTTTTCAGTTAATCCTATTTCTCACACTTTTAATACCATTGATTCAAAAAATAGTATCCACTGTTCTGCTATATTAAATCTATACACTATCATAATGATGAAAGATTGCTGAGCAATTTTTCCAATTTCTTCAAAAACGTTTTGACCAAAATGAGTAACTAAGGTGATATTGCCACTACAGATGGTAATATGTACCAATCCCTCAAATTCCAATTAATATAATGCAGTCTTAAGTCAATGTAGTACTCTATATGACTTATTTTTATCTTCACTTGCTGACAACATTCTAACATGAATTTAAAGGTATTTTATGCTATAAATTTTATACTTCATCTGCCTGCCATTCGTATATGCCAGTTTCTACTATCCCTGAGGTGTTGGAAATTCCTCTGCACTGGCAAACAATCATAGCTGCCATCCCACAGAAGAAAAAAACAATTAGCATATTCTTTGACGAACAAGTTTAAAACTGGCTGTCCATTAATAACTAGTTTGCATTGGGACAAGAGCTAACAAGGGATTTCAACAGGCTGTCATGAAGCCAAAGGATGTGACAGCTGTCCCTTTGTTGTTTTCTCACAGTGAAATCAGAGTGCAAGACTAAGGACTGAAGTTGAATTGGTTGACGTTGCTATGTCAAGATAAACTTTGGTGATTACAATATAAGTAAAATAAGTGTCTTCAAATCACCTATAAAAAGTTTATCTAGTATAGTGGCCAGGAGGATGTCCTTCAGGGTATTTATCATTTATTGCTGGTGGGGGCAGACAGAAGAACTGGCACTGAGGCCAATGTATATTTGATGCAAATATATCATGGAAGAAATCTAAAGATAGAAACTATGGATGCAACACATTATTTACTTGCCTATCATCTCTGAAACTCCTTAACAGAAATTTAAGAATTACTTTGGATAAACTGTCCTACCACAAAAAATGTTAAGCCACAGCAACAGCTCTACATTTGAAAAGGAATGTTGAAAATGTGTAGGTTTTGAATACCAATTAAATTATCAAATTCTATGCATCTGTGTGTTCAGACAATCATTCATACTTCAGAAGGTAGGTTGGAAGGGCACTGAATGCATAGCCTGA